GAAGGCATTTACCACGGCCAATGGGATGACGAGGGATGTTTGTAGTGAAAAAAGTGATGTTAGTGATACTATCAACTGTCCACTTGGATGATGGTCGTTGTTGACGAGCCCATTCTAAGATATMTAGATTTCGTAATTCGTTTTCAATCGGCTGTAGGTCGCTTTCGTTGACCACTTGGAAAGGTGTTTCAAATACATTATTATTGTTTCTGGATGCATAGTGATATTGTACTTCATCGGTAACAGTGTTTCGTAGTATATATCCAAAGGATATATTGAGCTTGAAGACGGTGGACTGATCTCTGAAAACTTGGTGAATATAACTGATAAGATGATCTGGGTTAAGTGAAGGAAGGCGATAGTTATACCACTTGGCCAATCTGTTATCTCGCGAGAAYCGCGTTCTTATTCTGTTCCAGTGTCGATGGTATTCGGTGTTGGTAGGTTGTTGGTCTGGTAAAAGATCGGATATTTTCACAGGATCTTCAGCCACAGGAAACGTTCTGGGCCGATTAGGTTCGCTTGCCGTTCTTGTTTTCTTGCGTTGGGAACCTAGCAAACGAAGAAAAAGAAAAAAAAATTCAGTGTATTATTCACGAGTTCACTGGACCAAAAATTAATTTAAGTTGATTCCTTTTTGAGACAGCTAATCCATCATATGTTTACACACGAGACACTATTGTTTACACACTAGAAATGAATCGCTTATCAACGTGAATAATTACAAAASTCGCTCAACTTTGAAATATTTTTATACTTCCAACATAACGCAACATAATGATTATGCGTGTTTTAAAAATAGCAAAACATTTATCAACATACCTGTGGAATCATCGCTTGGCAGCTTTCTCTTCTTTTCTTGATTGGAGTGTTCTTTTACGTGTGCATTGAAGGTATTTTTCTCGGAGAAGGTTTTATTACACTTCCCACATTTGAATTCTTTTTTCGTGTTGTGCTTCGAGTGGACGGTTTTCAGATGTTTTGATAGGTCTGAATTTCTCTTGAAACCTTTAAGGCAGTGTGGACACTTGTGGCTTTTC